GACTGTTTAAAAAAGCCTCTTAAAAAGTGCCCTCTACAGGAGGAGGCAGGAGAACGACATGCCTCACCTACGCCAGGAATTTTTAGGCTTTTAACCTTTGCTTAACTCTGCTCGAGTGATCATAAAACGCCTAGTCAGACTAGATGAGGCACGCCGTTCTCCTGCCTCCTCCTGTAGAGGGCGCTTTTTAGAGGCTTTTTTAAACAGTCAAGCAGAGTCATCCACAGTGACTTTGGCAGCAACTAGCTTAGCCTGACTTCAGCTCTTGCCTTTTTCCTTTTAATTTTTTTTTTCTTTTCATGATGACAGTGGTGAGGCTCTGTCTCCCCTGACTGCACGTCCCTGCTTCCCACCATAGGTGTTTCCTATTTTTTTACTTGCATGTTACATGCTTTCGAACTGCTAGGTTGGCAGAAGCGACCTTTCTGATTGACAAGCTCAATGAGCCACGGTGTCCCTTTTACATTTACCTACAAAGTAATAAAGGTGGGATAAAAATGTAATAAATAAATACCTCTCCCTATGTACCTTCCCCAACAAAAGACAACAGAGGGAACCTGCGTTCACCTTTGCTCCCGTACAGCTCTCACCTGCATGTGCCTTTTCGTGCCTGCGCAGCTGAGAACGTCGGATGAATCTTTTCTCGCACTGGGAACAGGCGTAGGGTTTCTCCCCCGTGTGAGTCCTCTGGTGGGTGAGGAGTGACATTTTCAGCTTGAAGGTCTTCCCGCAGTCGGAGCAGGAGAAGGGGTTCTCTTTGCTGTGGGTGGCTTTGTGAGCCTCCAAAGAGGCTTTCTGAATGAAACTCTTCCCGCACTCTGGGCAGGCAAAGGGCTTTTCCCCCGTGTGGATTCGCTGGTGCCGGGCCAGGTTGCTTTTATTGTGGAAACTTTTCCCGCACTCTGTACACAGGGAGGGCTTCTCGCCCGTGTGGACTCGCTGGTGTGTGTTGAGGGACGACTGCTGACTGAAGCTTTTCCCGCACTCTGGGCACTGATAGGGCTTCTCTCCCGTGTGGGTCCTCTGATGCATAATGAGATGGCACCTTGAGTGGAAACTTTTCCCACATTCCAGGCACGGATGGCATCTCTCTTTCGCTGGGGCCTTGCTGTCTGCGGCGGAGGGATCTCCCCCGTTGACGCTTTTCTTGGTGGTGGTCTCTTGCAGCATTTCCCCTCGATGCATTCTCAAGTGCAGAAGGAAACCCCTTTTCCGCTTGAACTTCTTCCCGCATTCGGAACAGATGAAGGGTTTTTCCTTGCTGTGGGTGGGTTCGTGTTCAATAAGGCACACTTTCTGTATGAAGCCTTTCCCACATATGGGGCAGCTGTAGGGCTTCTCTCCCGTGTGGATCTTGGTGTGCCTCATCAGATTACCCTTGTTGGAGAACCTTCTTCCACAGACGTTGCACAAATAGCGCCTCTCGCCTGTATGGACCGTCTTGTGTTTACTGAGGGCCTGCTTCTTAATGAAGCTTTTCCCACATTCAGGGCACTTGTAAGGCCTCTCTCCCGTGTGGATCCTCTTGTGAACAATGAGGGACACGCGGCTCATGAAGCTTTTCCCACAATCGGTACATTTAAAGGGCTTGTCTCCCATGTGGGCCCTCTCGTGCAAGATGAAGCTCCGTCTCCAGCGGAAACTTTTGCCACAAATTGAGCACTGATAGATCCTCTCCCCAACCATCCGGTTTCTCTCGTGCGTGTTCCTCTTGTGCTTGGTCAGGTTGTTTCTGTAACGGAAGCGTTCGCCGCACTCCGCGCACTGGTAGGGCATCTCCCCGGAGTGAACCCTCTCGTGCAGAACAAGGCGGTGTTTCCAGAAGAAGCTTTTGTCGCATTGGGCACATTTATGGGGCTTCTCTCCTTTGTGGCTTTTCTCGTGACCCGTCAGAGCGCATTTGGTCTTGAAACTCTTGCCGCACTCGGGGCACAGATAGGATTTCTGTCCGCCATGTGTGTTTTGGTGGACCACCAGGGCAGCTTTGCCATTGTAGCGTTTGCCACACTCAGAGCATTCATAAGGCCTCTCATCGGTGTGCATGCGCTCGTGTTCGATGAGAGAATATTTAAAGATGAAGGTTTTGTCACAGTGCGAGCAGGCGTGCGGTCGCTCCCGGGTGTGAGCCCTTACCCTGTGCGCATTAAGGTATTTTTCAAGGGTGAAGCTCTGGTCACAGTCCGAGCATTTGTACAGTTTTTCCGCCGTGTGGATCCTCTTGTGTATCCGAAGTAAAGACTTCTGATTGAAGGTTTTCTCGCACACGGGGCACGAGTACGTCTCGCCAGCGTGAATCTTCTGATGAACCGCCAGAGATGTCTTCCAGGGGTAGCTCTTCCCACACTCCGAACATTCGTAGGGTTTCTCTCCAGTGTGGGTTCTCTGGTGCGTAACGAGAGACGATTCCTGCCCGAAGGCCTTGCCACAATCCGAACACTGGTAAGGCTTGTCTCCTGTGTGAGATCTTTCGTGTGCAAGAAGACAAGCTTTCTTGTTGAACCTCTTCTCACACATGGAGCATCCGTATCGCCTGTCCCCCGGATGTGATCTTCGGTGTTCAAGGAGCAATGATTTATTGGCGAAACTTTCCTCACACTTGGAGCAACTATAGGGCTTCTCGCTTGCCGGAGATTCCTCTTCTATTGTACAGCTCTCTTCCACCACTTCGAAGGAAATCCTCCCGGGATCCACTTCCACCGCTTCTTCCAGTTGGCACTCTTGCTCGTCCTTCTCCTGCTCTTGCTTGTCATCTGCGGAATTAAACAAGTGATTATTACTAGAGCTGAATGGACTCAACTGCTGATAAAAGAAACACATTTAAAATAAATGCAATATTTTGACAAAGCATTCCAAAACCAATATGCAAGTCAGGGATTCGCTGGAAGGAAGAGGGAGAAAAGATGGATGCCAATAAAATTTGCACCCAGCAAAGGAACCAATAGAGGAAGGTTCTTGGGTTCAGGCCCAAGCCTGCCTTCCCCAATCCTCTCCCATCTCCTGGGTACCTCAAGAGTGGGACAGTGAGAGGCACATTGACTTTGTAACTTGCTAACTAACATAGTTACTTTATATTTTAATTTTATTTTCTCTCTTTTAAAATGATGCTCAGGTTTGTTAGCTTTTAACGTTCCTAAACTGATAAACAAGCTGGAGACTAGGTCCAGATAAGAAAATGTTTGTTAGGGGTCTGGTTTATCTCTTTGGGGTCTGGTTTATCTCTTTTCTGAAATCCAAACCACCCTTTCCCCTATAATTTACGCCTCTTCTGAGTCAGACCTCATTTTTATGAACATGTGTGATATTATGGGATGCAAATATGTAACACGTTTGACTGCATGCAATGGATTTCCTATGCAAAGGGGAGGTTACTTTTACCCTGCCCAACCAACTTTCCTCTTTCATTTTTCTTTGTTATTGTAACAATAAAAGGAGATGTAAGCTAAGGATCGGGTTTCCTCTTGGAATGAGAGGCATCTCTTTTGTCTGATAAATTGTAAAAATAAATGATCTTCCTATCTCGGTCTGTCTCATTGGAAAATAGGCATGCCGAGGCACGAGCTTGAAACCGCCATATTTGGCCCTCAATTGGCCTGGGGTAGATAGGCAGGTCCAGGCCTGTGCTAGGTCTTCCCAAAATTTGGCCTGCCCCCCAACTGCCTACTCAGCCATGCAAGGGAGTCCAAAGTTGGTCAGTGGAAGTGACCGGTACAGGGAGGCAGTTATGGTCTGTAGGTCGAGGCCTACTTCCCAGCCAAACACCCAAAGGCCACCTGAGGCCAACCCCTGTCCCTTGGGACTCCCCAGGCCTCGGCCTGCTCCTGAGCCAGCCAGTCAGCCACACAAGCGAGCCTAGAGCCAGTCAGCAGAAGCAACTGGCAGTGGTGAGGAAGCAGTTATGGCCTATAGGCCGAGGCCTACCTCCCAGCCAGAAACCCAAAGGCCTCCTGAGGCCTACCCCTGTCCCTTGGGACTCCCCAGGCCTCGGCCTGCTCCCGAGCCAGCCAGTCAGCCATGTAAGTGAGCCTAAAGGCAGTCAGCAGAAGCAACTGGCAGTGGTGAGAAAGCAGTTACGGCCTGTAGGCCGAGGCCTACTTCCCAACCAGACACCCAAAGGCCTCCTGAGGCCTACCCCTGTCTCTTGGGACTCCCCAGGCCTTGGCCTGCTCCCGAGCCAGCCAGTCAGCCATGCAAGCGAGCCTAAAGCCAGTCAGCAGAAGCAACTTGCAGTGGTGGTGGTGGTAAGTTACGGCCTGTAGGCCGAGGCCTACTTCCCCTGTGGCCAGCCAAGGCCTCCACAAACAGCCTCCTTATAAAACAGAGCCCCCTACAGCCTGATGGGAAGTGAGGTTGCCTTGAGGTAGGCAGCCTCCATAAGAAACCTCAGCCTCCCATTGGTTTTTGGAAGGGGAGCCCTGCGGATGCAAACAGATAATTTGGATGCCGCTGGGCCCCCAAAGCTCAGTGGGGAGTAGGCCGAGTCCTGCAAGTCCCTTGAGGGGCCAAATGGAAAGTAGGCCTCAGGCCTAGAGCCTAGAACGGCCTCCATGTGCCAGCGGCTTCAGCTGATCAGGCTTTCTTGCATGGCTAAGAGGCCAACTCGCGATCGTGCTGAGACATGCAGGGCCTGGCAGGATGGCTGGGTATGCGGGGCGGGGCGGGGGGTCCAATGCGGCCCCCTGCCTAAAGGCAAACAATGGCAGGCTCAGAACTTTGAAACCATCGCCTCAAATTTTTGAGTTTGTTATTAGCGTCTTAAACGGCGCTATTCATACTTTTAACACAGCACTATGGGTCTCTCGGTTCTCAACCTGTGGGCCGCAACCCCTTTGGGGGGGGTGTCGAATGACCCTTTCACAGGGGTCGCCTAAGACCATCGAAAAACACATATTTTTGAAAAAATATGGAAAACATAAAATAATTTTATGGCTGGGGGTCACCACAACACAAGGAATTGTATTAAAGGGCCGTGGCATTGGGAAAGTTGAGACCCACTGATCTATAGGAAAGCATGTGGTTGCTCGCATATCGAAACAAATGATCTTGGCCAAGATTTTTTAGCTACTCATTTGTTGTGTTAGGCGAGAACATTCTGAAAGTTCTTCAATACACTTGCAGCTTTCAAAGAAGATACTAGCCTAGCAGGGAAAAAGTAATTTAACCCATAAATTTGGTCACTGGTGACGTTATCTAGAATCAATGTTTTCTACTGTTCCAATTGTTACGTGCAATCAATGTAACGTTATGGTTTGTTCATTTATCTACTGATGTATCACAGATGACATACACTATATTGCCAAAAGTATTCGCTCACCTGCCTTTACTCGCATATGAACTTACTGTAACTTACCATCCAGTCTTTTTAAAAAGGCAAGATGAAAGTAAAGTTTTGTGACTACGCATCTATCTCAGAAATACCCCCTCTTTGTCTCTCTCTGCATGTGTGGGTTATGTGTAAATAAATATAAATAAAAGAAGCGATACTCATTTTAATTCAATTTGAAAATTATCTAGGGACTGCAATTCTGCACAGAGCCTCCTGCCACATGGAAACTTTGAATATCTTCCAACAGAAGGCTTTAAAATGGAGGGATCAAACTCACGTTGTCACGGCATCATCACATGACATATCGACTTATTTCCCCTTCGCTAAACCGGGCTTGGGCGTGGCCAGTGCGTGACGCGTCCAGCCGTTGGGTCACAAGTTTGACAACACTGGTTTAAAACAACAGTTTGTCTGATTGTCCCTAAAATTGAGATCAGACTGATTCACAGTTACTAGAAATAGTATTATGTTGCAGTTGTTTCCCGGCTCTGATTCAATTGTAATAGTCATTTTTTTGACTATTACTTGAGAGACTGCCTGCTGCCAATTACCTCCACTGGACCGATTAGATCCCACAGATTAGGCCTCCTCCGAAT